TCAGTCATTATGACACATCGTACTAACAAAATAAAGAAAAAAATCACATGATTACCACATGATTATCTTGATAGATGCAGAAAAAAGCATTTGATGAAATCCAACACCCTTTCAGGATCAAATAACCCAACAAATAACGGAAGGGAATTCCCTCAGCCTGATAAAGGGCGTCTATGAAAAACTCACAGCTAACATCATACTTAATGGTGGAGTTCATGAGTTCGAGCCCCGCATCAGGCTCTGTGCTGACAGCTGGGAGCCCGGAGCCTGCTTCAGATTCTGTGTCTCTCTCTGCCCCTCCCTGGCTCGTTCTCTCTCTCTCTCTCTCAAAAATAAATAAAACACAAATAAATAAATAGCCTTTGTCTCTTTTTCTATAGAATCATAAATCCATCAGTCTCTTGTGAGATAGGTTACGTGAGTCAGACCCAAAGAAAAGGATTAATCCTGAATATGGATTATTAATCCTGAATAACGATTATCATCCTTCCTTAATTTTTTTTTTTTTTTTTTTCCAGTGAGGGGCGCCTGGGTGGCTCAGTCAGTTGAGCGTCTAACTCTTGATTTCGGCTCAGGTCATGATCCCAGGGTCATGGATTGAGCCCCATGTCGCTCTGCGCGGAGTGTGGAGCCTGCTTAAGATTCTCTCTCTCTCCCTCTGCTGCTCTCCCCCCACTTGAGTGTGCTCTCTCTAAAAAAAATAAAATGAAATAAAATAAAAAAATTAAAAAAACTTTTTTCTCTGTTAAAGATCATTATTACCAACATTTCCTTTCTTTGCAGAAATCTTCCTTACTATGTAGAAAACCTCGTGTTCCTGCAGGTGCATTTTTCAGTTGGACTTGTTTTAGAAGATGACACAGACACCATCTGACCAGCCAGGTGGCAGGCTCTAGGGGGATTCCTGGGTAGCAAGGAATAGGCCTATGATCAAGACTCAGAGGTGTGTCTAGGAGTGGCAACTTGCAAGGGCCCTGGAGGGCTCTAGCCTCCCCACCATTTTCTCTACCTACCTACCTACCTACCTATCTCTTACTGAGATATAATTGACCTATAGCACTGTGGAAGTTTAAGGTGTGCAACATGGTGATTTGATACATTTATATACTGCATATATATATGCATATATATATATATATTACATATTATAGATGTACATTTGATACATTTATATATTGCATATATATGCATATATATATATTACATATTATATATGAACTAACACCTCTATTATGTCACCTAATTATTTCTTTTTTGTGGGGAGAACAATTAAGATCTAGTTTCTCAGCAACATTTGAAATTGTAATACAGTTGTTGACTATATTGTTGACAACTAATGTTGTTGACTAATAGTAATTATGTTGTGATAGATCTCCACAACTTATTTCTCTCCTAGTTGCAAGTATGTACCCTTACATATCTTTCCAGTTTTCCCACCCACAGGCCCTGGTAACCACTATTCTACTTCGTTTCCGTGAGTTTGGCTTCTTTTAGATTTTTCACAGAAGTGTGGTGATACCATATTTGTCTTTCTTTCTCTGTCTGACTTACCTCGCTCAGCACAATGCCCTCAAGGTTCATTCAGATTGTCACGAATGGCAGGATTTCCTTCTTCCTCGCGGCTGAATAGTATTTCATTGTGTCTGTACTCATGTTCTGTATCCATTCATCCCTCGAATAGTTGTTTCCACATCTTGGCTGTTGTGAATAATGCTGCCATCAACGTGGGCGCGCAAATATTTTTTTCATATCCTGTTTCCATTTCATTTGAATATATGCCCAGAAATGGGATTGCTGGATCTCTCCCCATGATTTGAATGAGGGAAGAAACAAATTCAGGGAATGTGAGGCACTGTGCCGGCAGGAGCAGGAAGACCCAAGTACAGGGAGTACCATCTGAGCAGAGTGAGTTACCACAAAATGCTGGACATAAGCCCTGAGGCTGTGCCATTGGCTAGTATCAGGATCTCTGGGGTGTGGGGCTAAGATCTCTGGAGCCGGACCTTCTGGGTCCTTAATCACTCTCTGCCTCCATTTCGACATCTCTAAAATGGGAGCGATAGGAAATTCTGACACAAATAGCACGGAAGAACCTTGAAGACACAATGGTAAGTGAAATAAGATAGTCACAAAGGACCCTCTGAGGGATGACCATCGCGCCACCACCTGGCCTGCTGGGCGGTGCGCTGCTCTAACCAACCTATCAGACAGGCCCATGGCCGCTCAGCCATTGGACCAAAGCGCCGGGGTGCCCGGAGCTGCCCAATGGGGAGTGGTGGCCGGTGGGGCGTGGCCGCGAGGACTGTGTGTGAGTTCCCCGGCAGCTTGGGGTTTGCAGAGTCCCTCGGGTCACGAGTTGGGTCTTTCCGCCCCGCCATGGGCCTGGAGCTTTACTTGGACCTGCTGTCCCAGCCCTGCCGCGCCATCTACATCTTTGCCAAGAAGAACCGCATTCCTTTCGAGATGCGCACAGTGGAGCTGCTCAAAGGTGGGCCGAGGCTCGGGTTTGGGAATCGAGAGATCGGGGAGGAACGGGGAGGCCAAATATTGCTTAAAAGGACCTCCGGCGCCAACTCCTTTTCGGGGCCATCGCCGGAAAAGGTGAGCCGTCAGGGAGATCCGAGATTCATCCCCCAAACAGTGCTCCGTCCCACCGAGTAGGCGATGGGGCTCGGCGGAGGCCGAGTAGAGGGGTGGAGAACTTGAAAAAGAGAGACCTCGTGAGCAAAAAGAAAGGGTACACCTGGACATAGGGATAGAGGACCTCCAGAACAGAGATGGGGGCAGGGGGAGGGCTGAGCACAGAGACCGGGGCGGAGCCGAGTCCCTCCTTGGTGGCCCCCAACTGCTGAAATTCTGCAACAAGGGTCACTGTCCCAGGGTCTCACTTTCCAGCCCTGCTCTATGCATTGGTCCAGGCTGCACTGGGGGTCCCCCTCTGTCCCTTCCTCCTTCTTCTGCTTTGCCTTCTCCTGCTTTACCTTGTCCTCTGCCTCTCTTGTTCCTGCTGGGTGGGGGTCCCCCTGGGGGTGTGCTGGGAGCCTGAGGGGAGACTGCCGGGAAGGCTGCTGGGCTTGGTGATCCCTGCACTCTCAACAGGAGGATTTGTTTCTCTGGCAGTCTCCCGAGGCTCCAAGGACACAGTTGGAACTTGGGGGGTAAGAGGGAGGCAGGACCCAGGTATTCCTGGGTGGGCAAGTAGGGTAACTCTCCTTGGCTGAGTCTTTCCCTTCATCGCTTCCCCACGAGTGTGGGGCCCTTGCCTGCTTTTGTGCCTTTGCACTGGCCTGTCCCTCTGCCTGAATCATCATCTTCTCCCCCCTCCAGGGCATTTCCCACTTGTCCTGCCCAGGGGTTACCTCTGCAGAGTATAGGGGAGAAGGCATAGGGACAAGAGACCATCCCAGCCAGGCTGTTAAATAAAGGGTGCAGAGAGCAGTGTGTTTCACTAGGAGAGGAGGGCAGGTGTGTCTGGTGAAGAAGGAGCAGTCTCAGGGAGGGAAGTGGGAGGATGGTGGGTGTGTTTGAGGCTAGAGGGTGAAGGCAATCATATACGGCTTTGAGGAACTTCCACCTGATCCTGGGGTAATAGGGAGCCACTGAAGACTGTTGAGCAGGATGGCAATGAGCTTAAGTGCTGTTCAGAAGCTTCTCTCTGGCTGCATCTGAAGGAGTAGGAACCACCCAGATGCGCTCAAGCAGAGGCCTGTGTCCCCGGGGACACTAGGCTGCACCTTTTGGGGACAAAAATGTGACTGTCCCAGCTCCAGCAGAGCCTAAAGGTAGGGCCAGCCCCTGCGTCCCTAATGGCCAGGACAGGGTGAATAAGGGGACACAGAAGAGCTGGTAGAAGTTCTTTGCAGGTAAACAGATACCAGGAAGAGGCCACTTCTCTGTATTTGGTGACCTTACCTTAGAGTCCACAGGGAAAGGGGCACTGTACGAAGTCAGAGCTCCATTAGGGTGAACAGCCACCCTGCTCTGAAAGCTTGGGGCACCCTGAATATGAACTTATGAGGCTGGGGTTGGTGCAAAGGTGATGGGTGGGGTGCGTACGAAGGCCCAACTGAAGCATCATATCCTGCACCTTGGGCTGTGCACAAAGGGACTTGGCATGGGCTGACTAGGTTCATTTTGCAACATTTGGCAGAGTAGTCTCTTGTTTCTTCCAAAGTGGCCCTCACCAGCCTAGGCCATGCAGGAGAACAGCTGGGGGCTGGAGAAAAGTCATGAATTTGGGGCCTGGGCATAGGAGGGAGTGGGCACAGGCCATGCAGGCCTCAGTGGTAACTCCCTCCCCCAACACGATGGGCTCTCTGCAGGCCAACACCTCAGCGATGCCTTTGCCCAGGTGAACCCCCTGAAGAAGGTGCCTGCCTTGAAAGATGGGGACTTCACCTTGGCTGAGAGGTAACTGCTACCAGACCTCACTGGAACCATCTTGGCCTACCCTTTTATTTTAGAGACAATTCATGTGTACTCAGGGGCCCTCTAGGTCCACCCCTGTCACAACACCTTCATGACCCAGGGCAGGAGGAAGCTCCAGAGGCCTTGTCTGTTCTGTTCCATGATCCTGCGGCACCCCCAGTGTTTCCTACAGGATGCTTTAGGGAGAACAGAGACGACAAGAAAGCCTTTTTAAGCAATCAGGCCGTCTGAGGCTAGGCTGGATGCCAGATGATGAGAATGGATGCAGGCTAAGAAGAACTAAGCTTCTTTAAGGCTCAGCTTTGATGGTATCTCCTCCAGGAAGCTCTCTGGTCAGAAACTGTCTCCGAACACTTGGCAGGATATTCTGCTGTGGGCTTTTGCCCGGTGGTAGGATGAGCCTCAGATAGACTCTCAGCTCTTCTGAAACTGTGCCTGGGCAAGTCCCTTCACTATTCTAAGCATGGCTTCCTTGTCTGAAGAATAAGGCAAATGCCTTGGCACATTGTCAGGAAGATTAAAGAAGGGACTCTGTATAAAGCCCCTCGCACAGTGTCCTTCCTCCCCTGCAGTGTGGCCATCCTGCTCTACCTGACCCGCAAGTATAAAGTCGCTGACCATTGGTACCCCCAGGATCTACAGGCCTGTGCCCGTGTGGATGAGTACCTGGCATGGCAGCATACGACCCTGCGGAGAAGCTGTCTCCGGGCCCTGTGGCATAAGGTGAGGCCCTGGGGTGGGGAGGTCAGTCAGGGTATCACCCCAAAGGGGCTAAAGCACCATCGCATTCTTCTTTTCCATTTGGAGAGTCTCTACTGCTCTGACTTTGACTCCACTAATTCTTCTGTTGCCCCCACGATGCTATGAAACCCATGTAATACAGTCTTTATTTGAGATACTTTTTTTTCAGTTCTAGAAATTCCACTAGGTTCTTTTTTAAGTTTCCATTTCTGTGCTGAAATTCACCATCTGTATACCTGCTTAGTCCATATTTTCTTCTAAATTCTTCAGCATATTTATAATCATTACTTAAAAGTCTTGGTCAGCTACTTTTATTTTTATTTTTTTAAAACATTTTTTCTTTTGAATGTTTATTTGTTTTTGAGAGAGAGAGGAGATAGAGCATGAGCAGAGGAGGGACAGAGAGAGAGGGAGACACAGAATCTGAAGCAGGCTCCAGGCTCCGAGCTGTCAGCACAGAGCCCGGCGCGGGGCTCGAACCCATGAACAGTGAGATCATGACTTGAGCCGAAGTCGGACGCTCAACTGACTGAGCCACCCAGGTGCCCCAATTTGTCAGTTAATTTTAATACTTTGGTCCCCTGTGGACCTATTTCTATTGGCCGTTTTTTATCCTCCTGATTATGGGTCACATTTTCTTCTTTTTTTGCATGTCTCATAATTTAATATTGTGTGCTACATATTATGTTTGAAAGAAGGTAGAGGGACGCCTGGGTGGCTCAATTGGTTGAGCATCTGACTCTTGATTTCAGCTCACGTCACGATCCCAGGGTTGTGGGATTGAGCCCCACATTTGGCTCCATGCTGAGCATGAAGCCTGCTTAAGATTCTCTCTCTCTGCCTCTCTCCTCTGTGCTCTCTCTCTCTCTCTCTCAAAGACAAATAAATAAATAAATAAATAAATAAATAAATAAATAAATACAAACTTTACAAAAATAAATAAAAGAAGTCAGAGATAGAAGTACATACTAAATGCCTCTAGAAAGAGTTTGTATTTTCCTCCGTCAGGCAGCCATGGTATGAGGTTAATTTCTTCCAGCTAATCAGGAGGTGGGCTAGGTTGTAGCTTTAGTTAGTTTCAGTTCATCTCTGGTTTCAGATGTCTTTTTTTTTTTTTTTAAGTTTACTTATTTATTTTGAGGTGAGGAGAGGCAGAGAAAGGGAAAGATAGAATATCCCAAGTAGGCTCTGCACTGTCAGCACGGAGCCCAATGTGGGGCTCGAACTCATGAATTGTGCAATCATGAGCTGAGCTGAAATCAACTGTTGGACACTTAACCGACTGAGCTACACAGGTGTCCTGTTGTTGTTCACAACACCATTATTCACAGTAGCTAGATGGTGGGAGAAACGCCAGTGTCCATGGATGGATGAATGGATAAACAAAGTGCTATGTACATGCCAAGGAATGTTATTCGGCCATAAAAAGGAAGGAAATAATGCAATATGTTATCATATGGATAAACCTTAAAAACATTATGCTAAGTGAAATAAGCCAGACAGAAAAAGACAAATACTCTATGATTCCACTTTTATATATTTATTTTTTAAGGTTAAAAACTTTTTGTTAAGTTTATGTATTTATTTTGAGAGAGACAGAGATAGCATGAGTGGGGGGGGAGAGGGGGCGGGGACAGAGAAAGAGAGGGAGAGAGAGAGAGAGAAAGAGAGAGAGAGGAAATCCTAAGCAGGCTCTGCGCTGTCAGCACAGAGCCGGAAGTGGGGCTCGAACCCATGGAATCATGAGATCATGACCTGAGCCGAAACAGAGTCGGACGCTTAACCGACTGAGCCACCCAGGCGCCCCTATTTTTTAATATTTTAAATTTATTTTTAAGTAATGTCTATACCCACTTGGGGCTTGAACTCACAACCCTGAGATCAAGAGTTTCATGCCCCATGGACTAAGCCAGCCAGGTGCCCCTTGTTTTATCTTTTTAAAGATTTTTTATCACTTTTTTTTGAGGTTTATTTTTCTTAGTAATCTCTATATCCAACGTGAGGCTGGAACTTATGATCCCAAGATTAAGAGTCGCATACTCTGACTGAGCCAGCCAGGCGCCCCTGTATGATTCCACTTATGTGGGATCTCTAGACTATTTCAGTTCATAAAGATGAGAAAGTAGAAAGATGGCTACCAGGGGACGGGGTTTGAGGCAGGGGGAGGAGGGAAAGTGAAGTTGTTTAATGGGCACAGAGTTTCAGTTTGGGATGATGAATGAGTTTGGAGATGGATGCTACTGGACCCCTGAGTCCAGTTCTTGAATCTCAATGTCACAAAAATAAACACTGAGAAAGAAAGCAGGCGGAGTTTATTAGAGATAGCTTGTACACAGGGGAGCCAACAAGAAAGAGGAATGTTTCCACGACCCCCCCTGCCCCCCGCCCAACATGTACAGCTTATAAAGGTACTTTTCCAAAGGGTGAGGGGCTGGGAGCAGGGAAACATCTTTCAGTCCCACGGTCATTATCTTGTGATGGTCACTTTTTAGTGGACAATCACAGGATGCCTCTCTTCATGGTCAACATTCTTTAGGGCTCTTGGTAAATAGAAATACTCCTGCAAGCAACATTTAAATTGTTACTTCTAATTTTGCCCGGGTAACCATTACTCCCTGATAGTTGTTGTCTCTCATTCGTTCTCTTTCCCAGAAGGAGATATTTGTCTCTAAGCATATGGAAACTTTTTTTTAAGGTTTATTTATTTGTTTTTTGAGAGAGAGAGATGGACAGTGAGTGCAAGGAGGGGAGGGGCAGAGAGAGGGAGACAGAGAATCCCAGGCAGGCTCTGTGCTGTCAGCGCAGAGCCCAACTTGCTTGAACCTTTTGAGATTGAGAGAGGGCGGGGGGTGGGGGGAGAGAATCTTAAGCAGGCTCCATGCTCAGTGAGGAGCCCGGCATGGAGCTCAATCCCATGACCCTGGGATCGTGACCTGAGTCGAAATCAAGATTCAGATGCTCAAGCTGACTGAGTCGTCCAGGCACCCTTGGCTTTTTTTCTTTTATTTTTTGTTCTTTCTTTTATTTTCCATTTTAAACAGTTCTATAATTCTTTGATGGCTTTAAAGAAAAATAAGATTATTTTCTTTCCACCATTATTATGATGGGAGCTATGGTTTTTGTGACTTTGGTATCCAATAAGAAATGGGATTCCTCATTTTTAAAGTGTATGGGTCATCGGGGAGCCAGGATGGCTCAGTTGGTTGAGCATCCAACTTCGGCTGAGGTCACGATCTCACGGTTCATGAGTTCCAGCCCTGTATCAGGCTCTCTGCTGTCAGCATGGAGCCCACTTTGGATCCTCTGTCCCCCTCTGTGCTCCTCCTCCACACACACACACACACACACACACACACACACACACACACACACTCTGTCTGTCTCTCTCTCTGAAATAAACATTCCATATAGAGTATGGAATAGAGTATTTTCCATATAGAGTATCATGTCATCTGTGAAGAGTGAAAGTTTGACCTCCTCCTGGCCGATTTGGATGCCTTTTATTTCTTTTGTTGTCTGATTGCAGAGGCTAAGACTTCCAATACTATGTTGAATAACAGTGGTGAGAGTGGACATCTCTGTCTTGTTCCTGACCTAAGGGGGAAAGCTCTCAGTTTTTCCCCATTGAGGATGATATTAGCATTGGGTTGTTCATGTATGGCTTTTATGATCTCGAGGTATGCTCCTTCTACCCCTACTTTCTTGAGGGTTTTTACCAAGAAAGGATGCTGTATTTTGTCCAATGCTTTCTCTGCATCTATTGAGAGGATCGTATGGTTCTTGTCCTTTCTTTTATTGATGTGATGAATCACATTAATTGTTTTGCGGATATTGAACTAGCCCTGCATCCCAGGTATAAATCCTACTTGGTCGTGGTGAATAATTTTTTTAATGTTTTATTGTTGGAGCTGGTTGGCTAATATCTTGTTGAGTATTCTTGCATCCATGTTCATCAGGGAAATTGGTCTATAGTTCTCAAAAAAACAATAAAATCTTAAAAAAAATAATAAAGGGGAACAAAACCACTTTTTAAAACCCTAAGAATTTTGAATCTACCAAATTGGAACAGAAGGGAAATGTAGAGTCCACAACCTCTTGCAAGGGTGAGGTGGATAATAAATAGAAGGAAGAGGCCTAGGTGGGGTTCTGCAGACTGAGAGCCCATGAACATCAGCCTTAGATACTGAGCAGGGATACCCTATGGCCAGTACCCTTTACATTCAAAAGAAGCTGGAGGGGCACCTCGGTGGCTCAGTCAGTTAAGTTTAAGCGCCTGACTTTGGCTCGGGTCATGATCTCATAGCTCGTGGGTTCGAGCCCCACATCGGGCTCTGTGCTGACAGAGCCTGGAGCCTGCTGCAGATTTTGTGTCCCTCTTTTGCTCTGCCCCTCCCCTGCTCATTATCTGTCTCTCTCTCTCAAGAATGAATAAACATTAAAAAATATTTAATTAAAAAGAAACTGGAAGTCTGGACTCTCATATGAAATGTCCCCATGTTAAATGTCAGCAACTGATCCATATTTTTAAAAACTCTGTAGCCAGACCAATGTTATCAGCTCAGAACTGGCCTCCAGGGCACCAGTGGGCGATCGTTGATTCTGTCTACCTTGTATGGGAGAGGAAACTGAAGCCCAAAGCCAGGGCTCGTGTACAATCCTAGTCCTGTGTATCTGTTTACCTGTATCTCAGGCTCTCCCAAACGACCTTACCAAACAAAGCATGAAGCCTCCCTCTCATGATCCCCATCTGTGTATCTCCCAGACAGCTCTGCCAACCTTGAGGCTGTTGATGGCTTCCTCCTAAAACACCTTCCACCCGGAATCCTGGACACCACTCTTTCTTGGCCCTCCTCCTTAGTCCCTCAGAAAATGTTGGTTCTACTCTTGACTTAGTCTTTTCTTGGCTGTGCCTTTCAGGCAAGTGACGGTGCCTCTCTGGGCCCCACTTTTCCATTTACAAGAGGAGTCATGGCACTATTATTATTCCTATATTATAGACGGGGAAATTGAAGTTCAGAGTGTTTGAGGATTTTGTTTTGGGTCCACGCACTCTATAAGTGGCAGAGTGGAAATCTTATTAGCTTGTCTTCCTAATTACTTATACAGTAAGAGGTACTGGCTTTATATTCAGGGGGGAAAGATGTTATAAAATAGATTGTTCCCAAGCCTAATACCTACTTCCAAAGTATAAAACTCATTGTTCAGGTCCCCTTTGAGTCCTTCTGTCGGATGCTCCTGAGGTTCAGCCATCAGAGATCACAGAAGAAGGAATATTTCTGGGAAAGATGGTCCTCTGGGAGTTTCCCTGCAGGCCTACCCAGGCTATAGAAGAGAGGTGCATGCAGCCAGAAAGCAGCTCAAACTGGGGTGGGGAGGCACACATGCCTTCCTGCCCCTGAGGCTGGCTGGGCTGGCCCCTAACCCTTTGCTTTGCTTCCCCACCTACCAGGTGATGTTCCCTGTTTTCCTGGGTGAGCCAGTATCTCCTGAGATGCTGGCGACCACCCTTGCTGAGTTGGATGTGACCCTGCAGTTGCTTGAGGACAAGTTCCTCCAGAACAAGGCCTTTCTCATTGGGCCCCATGTCTCCCTGGCTGACCTGGTAGCCATCACAGAGCTGATGCATGTGAGTTGTATGGATAGGGTGGGCCTGCTAGGCGGGGAGGGCCCTGGGGAGTTGCTGAAGTCTTGCCACCGGCTGTGCTTATCTATGGAAACCTCTTCTGGAGCTATGTGGCCCCCAAACTGGGCAGATGCTGCCATTCTTGACCTTGCCAACCCACCCCCATCCCTTTCTCTTTCTCCCTACAGCCTGTGGGTGCTGGCTGCCAAGTCTTTGAAGGTAGACCCAAGCTGGCTGCATGGTACCGGCGTGTGGAGGCAGCAGTGGGAGAGGATCTCTTCCGGGAGGCCCATGAGGTCATCCTGAAGGCCAAGGACTCTCCACCTGCAGACCCCACCATAAAGCAGAAGCTGATGCCTGCGGTGCTGGCCATGATCCGGTGAGCCAGGAAGCCTTGTACCTGCTCTGCCCAGGATAGTTCGCAAAGCATCTTCATTTCCAATCTCCCATGGGAGGTTGGCTCAGAGGGCAGGAGTGACTTGCCTGAGTCCCACTGCCCCTCTGCTCCCCAGGTTAGATCCCTACACCCACACCATCTTCCACAGCGGCCTGAAAGCCACAATGAGAATGGAACACCCACATCTTATCTCCTTTAATCACTGCATTTCATTTTCAGTTTAGGAAATAAACCTGGGCTCAGCCTGAGCCTGTGCTTCTAATAATGTGTGATTTATTTGACCTTCTGTCCTGGCCCTCGTCTTCTTCTCTATCCCAAAGACAACCCCCTTTCCTAAGCCCTATGGGTCAGCTTCTCCATGATGGTTTCCAGGAGTGAAATGAACAAATGCCCTCTAATCTTCTAGTTCTTGGAGAAAGTGATTTGTCAGACAGCACAGAGGGCAGCAGGCATCCCATATGTGGTGGCTGTAGGCATGGTGATCAATCAGTTGGCTGGGCCAACCTCCCAGGATATGGCCCTTTGGCACCAAGTGCTGTAGCTCATGTGTCCTGACTGTGTTCTGCAGGATTGGTCAGGAGGGGAAAATCCAAATAGCAGCTCTCCTGGTCAGGAAATCAATTATGCAGGCCTTAAAGGCCATGCCTATGATTTGTAAACCATAAACAGGCATAGTGTGCTGAGAATGCATTTTATTTATTTATTTATTTATTTATTTATTTATTTATTTATTCATTCATTCATTTACTTAGTTACTTATATTTTATTTTAAGTAGGCTCCACACCCAGTGTGGGGCCTCAACTCACAACCCTGAGATTAAGGGTCACATGCTTTGCCGACTGAGCCAGGCAGTCACCCCACTAGATTGCATTTTAAAATAATATTCTGGCTGGATGCGGGGGGTTGGACTGGAGGATGGCCAGAGAGGAAGCAGGAAGATTGGATATTATAGTAATCCTGCCAAAGGCGATTTGTGCAAGAGGGCAGGGCAATGAAGGAACTGGAGAACATGGCCCCTTCCAGTTTGGAGAGGGCTCCAGCACTAGGCTGTGAAGGCACTCTCCTGGGGAAATAGGTTTTACATAAACGGGGAACTTAGGGGATCAGGGAGGCCAAACTATTCTTAAATAACATCCTCTTGTCAAGGGGCTTTTTCTGAATCTTGGCTTTGGGGGCAGGATTTTCTTACTCCAAGAGCCTCTCTTAGGGAATGGGGGTCCATAGCCACAGACCTCAGGAGTCCCCACGGTGTCAGTTGGAGGGACTTGGCCCTGCAAAGGAGCTGGGGAAGTTTCAGTCCCCCTGCAAGTCACTAGGTGGGCCCCATGGGTTCCTGCCATTTGCTAGAGGGATTAGCTGGAGTGTAAGGAATATGACCCCAGGGATTAGGGAGGGGTGGTTCATTCTTTCCAGTAGTGTGGGCCTGGCCTCCACAGTGAGTTGGGGTCCAGAAACCTCCCCAGCCTCCATCCTGAGCACTGGCCATAGGGGAGGCTACTGCACCTCCTTTCTCTGCCTCCCTTTGTGTTCCCCGGGAATCAGAAGCTCCTCCTCTCTCAGTCTGAGGAAGTGGCTTGGGCCAATGGAAGGCAGCCAAGCCCTTTCCGCTGCTAAATTCGCTGACCTTCCGTGCTGGAAGCGTCCTTGACGTCCTGTTCCCATTATCATCCCTCACTGTCCCAGTGTGGGTTCGGCTTTTGGCTTCGTCCAGCAAAGCTGAGGACGGCAGAAAGGATTACTCCAGACTCCGTGCAAGTCAGGAGAGGTGAGAGGGAGGCTAAGGGAAGTCTCCCAGAGTTGCTCTCAAGCTCCCGTATTATTGAGCATACATTTAGGGAAACATTGTGCAATACGTCCGTGGGCTATGTGCCAAGAAGAACGTATAGAAAACGCGCAGAAGGGGCGCCTGGGTGGCGCAGTCGGTTAAGCGTCCGACTTCAGCCGGGTCACGATCTCGCGGTCCGTGAGTTTGAGCCCCGCGTCGGGCTCTGGGCTGATGGCTCAGAGCCTGGAGCCTGTTTCTGATTCTGTGTCTCCCTCTCTCTCTGCCCCTCCCCCGTTCATGCTCTGTCTCTCTCTGTCCCAAAAATAAATAAACGTTGAAAAAAAAATTGAAAATGCGCAGAAAAACAAGGCAGGATAAAATATTCCATGGGATAACATGACCCAAGGAATTTATGGGTACCGGCAGGACCTAACCCCTAGGTACACATTAACTAGATAAGGGAAGTGAGTGCCCGCTAGATACACATTAACTAGATAAGCGAAGCGCAGTCTGCTGTTTTCAGCAACACCAGAAAGCAGTGTTCTCCTTTGCAATGCGTTCCCTGTAACCCCTAAACCAGGACATAGTTATTTGATTTCCCCAACCCCAGGTCAGGGGAAGAGGTGTGACCTGGCAGCGAAAGCTCGGGTCAGAGGCCAAGTCTCCCAGTGCTACCAAGAGAACCGCTACAGGGATTCCCGGTGAGGGAACGAGGGAGAGCTGGGGTGTCTCTGATTGGTCCAAAGTTCTCCGGAGCCATCCAATGGGCGGGGAGGATGTGGCGGGGCTCAGACCCGCCCCCCCAACTCCTCACCCGGATTGCGGATTGCGCTGGGCTCTCGGCCGTTCCCGCCAGCCGTTGGTGTTCCCGGTCTTGTACCCTAGGCGCGACCCCGGGGTCGGGTCCTCCGCTCTCGCCATGGGCCTAGAGCTCTACCTGGACTTAATATCCCAGCCCTGCCGCGCCGTCTACATCTTCGCCAAGAAGAACGGCATCCCCTTCGAGTTGCGCACGGTGGAGCTGCTCAAAGGTGGGCCGGGCCGGCAGACAGGCCCTGGGGGCAGGGCCGCCTGTGCGCTGAGGGACCCCCGCCGGGCCGCGCGCCGCAGAGCGACTGGAAGGGTCACTTTCCAGTACGGAAGCCGTGACATCACTTATCGGTGGTGTATTTTTCAACAGCCCCGATCTTTGCTTAGTGACTACGAAACATTTTTCAAAATACAGGTTAAGAGGGAGCAGAGCAGACAGAGAGCAGTGGGGGGCGCGGGGGACGGGAAGGGGGGTGCGTGGGGAACCAGAGTGAGTGCGCCAACACCCCCACACCGGGGCTTGTAGGAAACCATGAAACTGTCTTCTCATTTCTTTATTGGGGTAGCCCGCATCTCTGGAATTTCTGCATCTGTCAGCAAGAGAAGGCTGTTCCACTTGGAGCCCGTCCCCTCTTTACTTCTACCTTCGCCTGCCTACCTCCCCTCCACATTTACAGGATCCAGTGGAGGAGGCAGGGCTGTAATCGGACAGTAGGCCTATCCTTGGGCAGGCCAGGAGGGAGACCCTTTCTTGGCTGAGCCTGCCCACCTTCTGTCTTTGGTGTCCCCAACCTGGGACACCAACTGCTATGCTGCCACCTTGCTCCACCTTTTTAGCCCTCTTTGGGATGGAGGCTGGGCACGGAGGCATTTTCTGGAGGGAGAATGGGTGGCGGTGATTGTCTTCACCCAGTAGAAGGGCAAAGAGGGCTCTATGGCCAGGCGGGAGCCTGGTTCCGTGGAATCGCTCTGACTCCACACACAGGGATTGTCGTACCTCCCAGCACTGGCCCAGCTCAAGGAATGCAGAAGTGAGTCAGACCTGGGAACACCCACTGGGGAAGGAGCCGTGAGGGTTTGGCACCAGAAAGAAAGAAGAGCTAAGCTGGTGGAGTCTGGGTGACTGAATGGGACAGAGGCTCCTGGAGAGAACGAGGCTGGACTGAGGGCTGGGAGCAGGTGTGCGTGGAGCTTTGTGGTGTGGACAGGTCACCCACCCGGCATAGGAAGATGGCTGAAGGGGGCAAGCCTAGAGCCCAGGGAGGAGGCTGGAGTGTCCGACAAATGGATGGACTTGGTTGGGGGTGGGGCTGGATTACAGCTGCTGGCAATCGCCCTCTCTCCTTGCCCAAGCTGAGATGCTGCTTGGCCCGGATTTCCAAGGGGGTGGACACAGGAAGGGTGGGCCTCTGCTGGGGAGGTCAGGGCCTGTGATCTGGTGACCAGCAGAGTGTTCTCCTTCCCGCTGCCCCGCCCGGATAGGGGCCTTGGAAAGAGCTGGTGCCTGGATGTTGAGGTGGGGGTTGGGCAGAGACCTCAGAGGGCTTAGGGTTCTCCTCACCGGCCTCACTGGTCTCTCCCACAGGTCAGCACCACAGCGACGCTTTTGCCCAGGTGAACCCCCTGAAGAAGGTGCCAGCCTTGAAGGATGGGGACTTCACCTTGGCTGAGAGGTATCAGGTCCCCAGGCTGCTACAGGCCTTATGAGGCCGGTCAGCCATTTGGGTGTCTACCGTTGAAGGCTTGGATCACAGCTTGTGTGCGCTGAGCGTCTGTGCCAGCCCCAGCAGGCAGAGGAGCCTGGGGCTGGGAGGGGCTGCTGAAGTCATGGCATCTCCACTCCCCCCTGGCATGGTACAAATGAGGAAACCGAGGCCGGGTGAGGGGAGGGACTTGCACAAAATATTGAGGAGTAGCTGCAGAGCTACTCTTCTACAAATCTTGGGAGCAAGTCCTATTGCCCTGGATGTCAAGAGAACACCCAGAGAGCTTCAGTGGCTATTTGCTGGGCACCCACCAGGGCCAGGAAGCATCCAGGCCCTAGGGCCAAAGCAGTGAACAAATTCTAAACCCTTGCCCTCATGAAGCTCATATTCTAGAAGGGGGGAGTGATAATCTCTGTAAAGGTGTAACACATCCCGTGGTGATGAGTGCCATGGAGGAAATAACTAGGGTAAGAGTGAGGGTGGGTGCGATTTTGAGTAGGATGTTGAGTGAAGGGCCCCTTGAAGAGGAGGCATCTGGGCAGAGACCTGCAGGAACAGAGATGCAAGGTATGTAGGGAAGAGTGTTCTGGCTGAGGGAACAGCAAAGCCAAATGCTATGGGGTGAGACAGTGCTTGGGGTACAGGTAGAAGAGGCAAGGCATTCAGTGTGGCTAGGGTAAGCAAGGGGAGAAAGCAAGGGCTGAGGTCTCAGGGTAGCATGTGGGGCCAGGAAGACTGGCTTTTACTGTAGGTAAGATGGGACCGTTGGAGGAATTTAAGCAGAGGAAAGCTGAGATCTGACTTAGGTTTCTTGTTTTTTTTTTTGTTGTTGTTGTTGTTTTAAAGCGGGGGTTGGCGAGTGAGTGAGGGTGGAGAGAGAGGGAGAGAGAGAATCCCATGAGGGGCAGAGACAGAGAGAGAGAGAGAGGAGAGAGAGAGAGAAGCGGGGTTGGAGCTCACCCAGGGCGAGGCTTGTGCTC